ACACACACACACACACACACACACACACACAAACACACACACACACACACAAACACACACACGCCCATAAATGAATCAATCAAACAACTCAAATTAATGTAAGATACTCAGAAAAGAACTTTTACTGTAACTATGATTGAAGACAGTACTTTTGTGATGATTAAGAGTGTTCATAAATTAGAGACGGGCTCCTTTAACAGTTTAAAATCCTACATATGGAATAATAGTCCGAAAAATGACTATAATTTTTTAAATGGAGGAGTTTAGGAATCTTTAGACAAAATATTTTTTTTAAAGTTTGCAAATGTGTTTTTGTTTCTTTAACAGTTTAAAATCCTACATATGGAATAATAGTCCGAAAAATGACTATAATTTTTTTAATGGAGGAGTTTAGGAATCTTTAGACAAAATATATATTTTTTAAAGTTTGCAAATGTGTTATTGTATAGTATCATATTTGATACATCAGGCTTTTATGGCTCATATACTATGACAACATTAAGCTAAAAAAAAAAACACCTCAGCTTTATTCAGATGCCCAAACTGAGCAAAAATATGCAATTTGGTGCAGATGTTATTATTTATATGGCCAGAGAGTGATGAAATTCTGTTAGTTTGTATAGCAGATTACTTTATGAATCAGTATTATCAATGGTCACTGTATATCTTCAATAATATTTCTCATAAGATTATATTTAAATGGTTAGTTTAATATATCAAAACTCTATAGTTTTAATTGTGGGGGGAATGAAAGAATGTTTGAAAGATGTAATAATAATAATAAAAATAATAATACGTTTACTTTATATAGCGCCTTTCGGCAAAATCAAAGTCGCTTTACAATATTATAACAAATAAACGTACAAATATTACATTAGAACATGATTTTTCAAAACAAAACAAAAATGATATATGGATCATCAAGAAAACCTAAGTAAGTGCTGAAATAATAATAACAATGTAAAATATATTCTTGTGTTTACTTTAGCAAATATTCAGTGAAGATTTCACAGTAAAAAGATACTTGTATCCTGACCAGAAGTGGGATGTTTTTTTAGAATTATACTAAAAGGCATTTTACTTGCTAAAACATATAAACTACCAATCAGACAACAGAAGCCATGTTGAGGATTGAGTACAGCAGGTTTTTCAGATCAATTATCATGTTGATAATTTAGAGGCCTCAGAAATGTGCCTATCAAATATGATAAAGTAGGCTGTATAGGCTAGTACATAAAAAAGCTCTCTCTCTGGAATTCACCAATTTTCTTTAAATTTCACATAAAATGACACCATATTTTGTCTGATTTGAAAAAAGATACGGAAGCTCTCTACCTCATGCTAATTGCATTACATTGCGACACAAGTAAAAGCCTGGATGTAAGTGATTGTTGTAATTAGAGCGCTTTAAATTACAGCCCTAATTCCAGACGATGTCCCCCCACCATTCATATGCTGCTGACCACGCTAGAAATTCCCCCTGATGGGACTCCTGGCTCTGTCATAAAACTATCTGAGGTGTAATCTTCAACTGATTTACCTGCCGTTTTCTCAACATCGCCCAATAAAAAGGGCGAGACCGCCGAGGTTTCATGGGGCTAGTTTGTGATTAGGGATGCATAATCGTATCCTGCTTTGATCGTTTCCATGCCTTATAACTTCTAGCATATATAATGCGAGGGACTCGTGAGACAGACAGAGTGCAGTGTAAGCAGGGAGGATTTGGGAGCAGCACTGGGCTGCAGTCTTAATCTGGTTCTGGAGACAAAGTGTTTATGATGTACATCATTGGCTGAACTGGAGGAAGGACTAATTATAGTCATCCCGCATGACACATCCTGTATCTATCTATCTTTCATAAATCATATATAAAGCCCAAGTGCTTATTTCCTAATCAATATATACAATTGAGTGAATGAGGTGTGATTTTTAACAGCGACTAGCTATAAAGAAAGACTCTAAGAGACCGAGGACATCGCCATTGATCTGGAGAAATCTAACCTGCTGTCAGCTTGTGAGTAGCTGTCCCTGATTACATTCATCAGAGAAATGATGGAGGGAGTGGAAATCTGATTAAGATGTGCTTGCATCCAACGTCTCAACTAACTGCGAAACTCATAAAACGCATTTGCTGTCTCCCCCATAACTAATGGCTGGTTTTCACGGCTTTGACAGCGAGCCGTGTGTGTTATTTTGTCCGGGTATTATAATAATAATGAGAGCAAATTAGAACAATCAATTTCCATGGGTGGTTCTTGATTGGGGATGATGGGCAATATGGCACTGGGTAATCCATCTTCCTAGCCCTGTCTCATTAATGGCTGCGTCGCCGCGACAACAGCCAATGGCAGTGCGGTGCTATGGAACACATGGGGGCATCATTCTGTGAGCCTATGTTCAATTAGCAGTGCCGGCGATAAACAGAGTGATGTATGCAGGCTCGCAGATGCGGCAGCTTGAGTTTAGAGCCTTTTAAAGCCCCTATATGTATCCTCTGTGCCTCGACACACTCGCATGAGCTTGTGCGACGCCCTCGCTGAATATGTGCTAAACAGCACTCAGCCAACAGTACTTCTTATACAGGGAGCATTCGAAAATACAGCTTCTTGCATTGCACCAAGAGTAGGAGAATCCCAACTGGTACCCATTTTTACCCACCTCATATGTAAATGAGGTGGCCACAAGAGGACAGTCATCAATCTAAGTCATTCTTAACCTGATCAAGTACACAGCACTCTCCAGCCCAACATTAGAAGAACACACCAAAAGCAATCAACTAGAGCGGCTCAATCTATACTCCAGGGTCACATGTGATAGCATGAGGATTGAGGAGTGAAGGAGAGAGAATGATGAGAATGTGAAGAACAAGTTTCTATACATTAATAGGTTTGAGTCAGTGTGAAAACAGAGAACAAAATATTTCTTTTTGATTTGATTTGATTTAATAAGTATTGACTAGGTATAGGTGAATTTATATTTCATACCAAATGTCATATCTTCATATTTAGGTTGCCCCTACGACACATGCCCCTTTTAGTATCTATGTGTTAAGTATTATTTTAAAACAAATGATTTTCACAAAGCAGCATGAGGTTGTTGACAAGTCTAATAACAGATTTGTCAGATCCTGCAGTACCTGAGGGAGACACCGGCCAGTGAGGAAGATCTTTCATGCATCAAAACGTGTCATCATCACCACACTTCAACTGACAATGATTATATCAGCTAACTTGTGACTCAAACTGTAACATTCCATTTTAATCAAACTCATTAGCTATAAACATGTAGTTTTGCTATACAAAGCAAGAAATTAACAAAACCAATGATTCCTCACAGATAACCCATCTTAAAACATTCTAAAATGATTCTAAAACGATCTTACATCTTACTCTGTCTCCACTACTTTCTTTCACCTTTAGTTAAGGTCAACCTGAATATTTAACAAGAAAAGATACAGGACAGGACTTAAAGTTGTGATGAAGCGGAAGAGATCTTTTGCAACAGATCTTTTGTTCCATAATTGTCATATACCCATAATAATAATAATGAATTGCAAAAAAAAAAAAATGTAGGTTGGGGACTTAGTTTCCTTGTATTGGTTGAATTGCCGGATTTTAAGATGTGAGTGCGTTGTATTTAAAAATGGATGCAGATGAACTTGACTGCAGTGGGGAGAAGTCCGGCATACATTAAAGGGGTCATATGATGCTGCTAAAAAGAACATTATTTTGTGTATTTGGTGTAATGAAATGTGTTTATGCGGTTTAAAGTTAAAAAAAAACATTATTTACCACATACTGTACATTATTGTTTCTCCTCTATGCCCCGCCTTTTTGAAACGCGTCGATTTTTACAAAACGGTCACCATACTTGGCCACATGTCACGTCACTTTTCACTTTTTCACTTTTCACTTTTCAATATTACAGCGAGAATAAAAGTTACTCCTTCTTTCTTTGTGTGAACATTTGGGCGGTGTTATGCAAATCTTCCCACATAGTGAGGTAGGTATGTGGGGGCGTGTTCGAACGAGCCGTTTTAGGTAGGTGTGGCTAACTCTTAACTTTTATAAAGAATATCTCTTTGGATTTGAGACTTTAGTCTTTGCAACTTTACAGATCTTCTTTATGCACCAAGAGCTTGTAACACTCTAAAGAGAAAGGAAAAAATGAAATCACATCATATGACCCCTTTAACAGAAAGAAGTTTGTCATTTTCACTAGAAGTTCCAGTTGTGACATTTTGATTAAACATTACCAAGTAATTAAAAAAAAATGTATGCATTAAAGAACTGTTGACCTATAATATGCATTTAGAAAACAGACAGGGTGAATTGTCATTTCCTGATAGACAAAAATAAAGTCAGCATAAATTCAGTGGATCAGGATCTGACTGGCTAGAACAAACACAGGATAGCCTAAACAAGGCTAAAATATCTAAATAAGTGCAGGAAGGGGACGTTTTCTACACTAATTTCATGTTGACTTTAAGCTCATAGGAGTCTCTCAGTATAGAATACTAGAGAACATTAGTCCATGTCTAATATCATCAACTAAGATCATCATAAGAACTTCCTCTGGATAGGCTACTACAGTTATAACAAACAGAACATGTAGTTAACGAAAGAGGAGCAATTTAAAGTTTCATACGAACTAGTTCCTCTGAACTGACCCTAATAGCATTCAATGTATCCATTCACTCTACCGCGATTGATACACAAACCGTTTAGGAATATCGCCTTTTTGCTCTCTGTGCTGTCTTTTTGGATTACTCACTATTGGATTCTCCGTAGTCCCCTCATTCTAGTGACTGCAGACTTTGTAAATTCACTTAGCTAATTGATTTCAGCAGGAATCACGTTGTTGACGGTCATGTGATTGTACAAGCTTGGTCTTGTTAAGAAACGCGAGCCTCGCTCGGTCGGAAGTGCAGTGCCAGTGCGAGAAGCGCGAGCACAGGACAGGATTGATGAGATGAGAGGCCGCTTCGCTGTCAATCATACGATGTGCTGGCTGTCAATCTAGTGTGACCACGCCCTCATGTCAGCTATGACCACACCCTCAAGTCCAAGATGAAGTCTGTAGCACAGAAAGACGGCCAGTAGAAACTAACTAACTAACCTTAACTCATATTATTTATCTCAAGAAGTCTTGTAGCCTATAAATAACTTGAATATGGCTGAAGAAGTGTTAATTATTAGTCCAGGCAAAATAACATCGGTAAGTAGACTATTTAATCACTAACAGTTATTTAAATGTGTCATTTTGTTGTAAATATACGTTTGTTTTGTAACTTATTTGTTTTCGTTCTAGTTGTCTTATCATTCTCTTAAACCGTAAGCCTATTATTGATCGCCATCTACAGATCTTCAGTTTAGTTAGTTTAAAAATGATGTCTCAGATGGTCCTTTATTAAAGTTAAATTTTAGTAGGCTGTTAAAGTTTGGTTGATGAAGGTTTTGTAATAATAGGTTTCAAAAGGTATTGTAATCAATAATATTAATGCAATATTTAATGTCACATTTTTCTTTTGTACGATATGGTGTGTAGAAAAAAAGCCATTAAGTTAATGTCACAAGACATTTTCTCAGCATCTTCCCTCACGTGTAGGACTACGTATAAGCAACTGTATCTGACCACTTAGTGGGACAAATTAAGTTTTCCACTCATTATCTGAAGTGTAACGACCACTGAAGTCACACCATGAGAAAGCTATTCTCTCCTCTTGTGACTTGAACTGTTGCTTCAACATTTTAAGATCATTAGAACAGACAGAATATAATAGAATAGAATAGAATGTTTACAAATATACAGATTAAATATATTTGTTTATAAAACTAAATACATTTATTTATAAATATATATTTTTGTGTGCCACATACATATTCAATTATGTACTAGTTCAACACATTAATGGACATGTAAATGCAACCCATTATGTATGTACTGAGCACTATTTATCTATATTTTATAAAATGTCCGTTTTTGTTTCATTTCTGAATTTGTTCTTTTGAAACACTGTAAGGATGTCTGAGACTAATTCTAAATGTAATTCTTTGACATCAGGGTTCATGCATGTGCTCATTGTTTCAGTCACAGCATTTTAAAGAAAAAGAAACAACAGAGATAGCGTGCTGTTTTAAGGGGGTAAAAAGTAAGGAAATTTATAGCTTACAGGCCATAAATATTTTCTCACTTCTTTTTTCTTTTTTTATAGCATCTTACCTCATCTCTGCTGGCAGTGGCTTTCCTTACCTCCTTTGGTAGCTCAATGCTGTATGGTTACAACTTAGCTGTGGTCAACTCTCCTGCCGGGGTAAGAGCTCATTGACACACTCAGTACCTTGATCGATCAAAACTGCTCATCAAAACAAGCAACCAGTAGATAACATAGCCAGTTTACAGCATTTCATTTAATCAAAAAAGATTCTTAAAAGTGGCTTCCAGTAGAGAGATGCATGTCGGGCTCGAGGACTAAATAAACAAAGTGGCCTGAACAGAGGCTCTCCTGATGCAAGATCTCAGGGAATGTTGCACGATTCTGTGCATTCTATACATTCTTGTGGTAAAAGTGTGATTTCTACAAGGAATTCTGTAATAATTTAAACATTAATTAACATTAATTGATATTTTTATATATCATATGGTACTTACTATTTATACATTAGATTTATATAAATAAATCACAGTTTTAACCAGAGAGCATTGAGGTTTGCCCAGCATAATGATATGGGACAAAAAGAGAAAGTTATCTTTAGACTTTCTCCAGAAACTTGAAGAAACAAAGTGTTGAAGCCTTATTTTCATTTTTTGTAGATAAGTCAGTTAGATGTTATTTGTTCATCTTGGCTTGTCAGGCATTTTGTGCTGCAGTGGTTGCCTCTAGCAGCTCTTCATGTATATAAGTAGGGACCTATTTGCCCTGCCCCATTAGCCTGTTAATGATGAAAATATTTAAATTCTCCTGTCTGGTCTCCTGACTGGCTGTTATATACCCTACCGTGGTTTTGTTTTGTTCTGTTTCTCTTGGAACATCATGTGCTAAGGAAGAGGATTCAAACATAGAATTTTTTTATTTTTTTTTTTGAAGCAGAAGCTCAATCAATATTATCAGTAATCCAGGTTTTTTTGTAAACTCAGTTTTAGTTCAGTTGAATCTATTGTTGAGTAAATTGAAAGACTATATTAAGAGTTTTCCCAAGTCTGTTAAATGATACTGCAGTGCTCCAGCTTAAGTTTAGAATAGAAAAGAAAAGGTACATAAGCTAATTAAATTAAATTAGACTGTGATCTTAAAGTACAGGCAATTGAGAGAGTGAGTTGCATAGAAAGAAAGAGATAAAGAAGAGCTTGTCACGAAACTGAAGAATGTAAGTCCATGTTGATAGGTGTGTTTCACTGAATAGAAGCTTCGAGCTCGAAGAAAAAGGAAATTTTTGAAATTGGGAATGGCTATTGATGCCTTACCTTGTGTTCGTGTATTAAACTAAATATCAAAAAGTTAAATATTTTAAAAAAAAATGTTTTAGTTCACCCACAAATAAAATCATCCTTATGTCGTTCCAAAAATTGTATTCTTAGACCGTTAAAGTTGGGACATGTGAGAAGTAGTCATATGGACTACTTTTATGAAATTTTTATACTGTATTTTATAATATAATTTTTTTGTAGCTTTACAGCTTTTCCCTTTTTACTTTCAATAAATGGAATAGCACAAGATATCCTATAAAATTGGACCGAAAAAGGGAAGTCCAGCAGTTTTTCAGCAAGAGAGTATTTTTGGGTGAACTATTCACTTTAATTTCTCTCTTTCTCTCTGTCTCTCTGTTTCCCTGTCACTCACAGTACATTAAAGACTTCTATAACCGTACAGTGGTAAGTCGCAATGGAACTGGATTAAACGAGGAGGCCCTGACGCTCATGTATTCACTCACCGTTTCTGTGTTTGCGATTGGAGGCCTGATCGGCTCTTTGATGGTGGGCACTCTGGTCACCAAATTTGGAAGGTAAGTCAGGAGGAGACCCATAACATCTGGCTTGGTGTGGTCACTCTGCCAGGAATTCCTCTGAGTGTCAAGGCCACTGAGGTAGATTCTTCCTCATCTGTCACCTCACCTGACCTCTCTGACCGCACTGAACGACTTTGCCTTTGCCTTGTAAATGGCCTTGTTTCTGTCCAGTTAGTTCCAATCGTCTTTGTTGGTGATTAGTTCAACCAAAAATAAAAATGCCATAATTTATTTACCCTCATGTGGTTCCAAAGCTGAATGAATTTCTTTCTTCCATGTAACACTAAAGAATACATTTTGAAAAAAGCACTGATCACATTTTTTTTCTGTGCAATTACTATGAATAGAGAATAGAGCTTTCAAGAACGAGGCAAAAGCTCAGTGAAAGTGTCATAAAAGTCTGTGTGACTTACATCCAAATCATCTGAAGCCATAGGATAGCTTTACCATATGGATCACTTTTATAATACTTTAATGATGGGGTTTTTGTGTGTGTGTGTGTGTGTGTGTGTGTTTAAGCTTGAAAGCATCTATCTGCATTAATTGTACTTACTTGGAAAATAGCAAGGGAAGTCATACCGGTTTGGAACATCATGAGAATGAGTAAATAATGAGTTTTAATTTTTAGAAAAAACATTACTGTAAATGGCCAAAGCGATAATTTTTATAGCAGTGGTAGCATATTATTGTATAGAAACAAGACTGTTCAATTAACCACTTTGTAACTATGTGCACTTCCTAACCATAGCTTGCACTTCTATTTTGTGCTCTCCATGGAATCTGGAAGTACACCTGTCTAGTCTGTTCTGAGTGTCTACGAGTGGCGCCACAAGATTTGACTGCAGACATTTAAATGCAAATGAAAGAAGATGATTCATGACCCTATTTATTGTTCTAATCAATTTCAGTCCAGCAAAATGTTTTATAGCAGTAAGGTGATCATAATGCAGAACATGGTGCAGCCATCTGTAAATCAGGAGGAAAGTTTACAACGTGATAGAACTAATCAAGGAATGCAGCTATTTCACCCAGCAGCACTGTCATGGAACATCAGTTATCTGGTTTTGATAGTTAAACTCCCAGGTGACCGGCTATCGAGCATGACTGTCCTAGCTTAATGAACAGTGCCAGTGCAGAACTTCACAGTGTTTGCTTTTGCAGGAAAGGTACAGTGGTCAACTCCACTGTACTGGTGTTCTTAGCGGGATCTCTCATGGGGTTTAGCAGGATCTGCGGCTCACCCGAAATGGTCATCTTTGGTCGTTTTATAACAGGAATACATTCAGGTATGTCCCAACTAAAAAATAAGCAGGTATAGCAAAGTAAGATTTGACATGAATAGACTCTGAGATGCTTTCCTCATCTCCAACTTCCAGGTATCTCTCTCAGCGTGGTGCCCATGTACCTGGGAGAGATTGCTCCTAAAAACCTGAGAGGCTTCCTGGGGCTCATGCCCAGCATTTTCATTTGTGCTGGGGTTTTCTCAGCTCAAGTCTTGGGCCTGCATGAACTTTTGGGAAAGGTACAACAGGGAACTTAACATCAATGATCAGTTTAACATCATACAATTACATTGCTCTTCTATTTTCATAATAGTTATGAAACAGAGTTCAGTATTCTGTTTTAACTTGTGCTGTTTTGTTTGACAGGAGGAGCACTGGCCCCTGTTTCTGTCTCTTGTGGTTGTCCCCACCTTTATCCAGCTGATGCTGTTACCTTGGTTTCCAGAAAGCCCACGCTACCTGTTGATTGAGAAGCACAATGTTCATGCCACTATCACCGGTGAGAGAACTTCTTTTGATTTAGAATTTGAACCACTTTAGGCATGTTTCTAAAACCATCCAAACATCAAATCTACCATATATATATTTTTTAATTTTACAGTATATGTTATAGATCATCTTATTAATCTATAT